GCTCCCAAGTCATGTGTTTGGCATAAAGGTATGTAGCTGAAATGCGAATCTTCAAATGATTTAAATTGGCCGCCAGTTTTGTATTAGTATTTCGGTCGCTTGGCTCTGATCCACCCGGGGTGAGACGTTGCCGTACTTTGCTCTTGCTTTGCTAATACATTGAGCTTTGCATATGAGTAAAATAGTACCTAACATAGTAGCTTTGACTATGAGGATTATTAGACATCCCATTTCCTACAAGTTATGTCCGGTTTTATAATGAAAATAATTGCAGTTGAGTTAAGCCTTTGATAGAACGTGCTGACATTGATGTATTTTGCTACATAAATCAGGAATTTACAGCATCACACTCCATCAAGATCTCAATTTGACTACATTATTTACAACTTAAAGTTTTCGGCCCTTGACTTTTTAGCCCAACTACTTAAACTTGATTGGGCAGTTTAGCGTAAACTAAAACATAAAAAAATACCCCCGCCGCAGCAAACCTGCAGACTAAGCGAATTTCCATTTGACTGATTGGATTTACACTGCAATGTCTACTTAAAAATATAGCATTTATTCCCGATTTAAATAGAACTAGTGTACATGTTGCTCGAATTCGAGCAATTGTTAAGTATTACAGGATTTGCAAACCAATAACAATCATAATTAGCTATCAACATTTCAACAAAACACACCTACCTTCCCTGTAGCAGCAAACCTAAGAACTCATATTAAAGTTAACTTAATGTTATTTAAATAGGAAAGAAATTACCATTTTCAGGGAATATCTTTGTATAAATTTAACCAGGTAAATGGAAATTCGCTTAGTCTGAAGGTTTGCTGCGGATACGCAATTTTAATAACAGCAATGATTGAAGAATCTGAATTATTACTTATATCCATGAATTTATTTAACAATTATTTCCTGTAAAATATTATTACAGCAGTTCAAAAATATTGAAACAAACTCGATCAACAAAAAATTATGTAACTGAAAGAATTCCATACTAATGACATTAACATATAGTTTGACGGTTCAATTTAATCAATGTTAAATGTTTACATTCGGGCATAGACAAAAATGATTCGGGTGAGTGAGATATTTTATTAATGTTTATGATCCCTACCGTTCCTGTTCTAATAATCATGCAGTATTTAATATGTTTGGACCAGCTGTATGGAATTGTGAAATCAAAATTAATTTGACAGTTAGTTCTGCTTGTTTACATTTTAAAATTTTGTGGGTTTGTTCTTTGTTACCATGGATACCATCAATACATATTTCACTTTTAATTTCTGACAACAGCTGGAGTTCCATAACAAATTTTGTTTCCCATGTTAATCTTATGGATAAATACGAAACTTTAAAGGGCCCCAGGGCCTCACTCTCTAATTATTTCCTTAAAAAGAAAGTTTCCTGCACAACTTCACGTTACGCTCTTTCCAATGACACCAAAAACAAAACTGTTTTTTTGTAAAATGTTAATAGTTAGTAAGAAATAAAAACATTTTCCAAATTTGATCAAAATATGTTCATAAACAAGCAAACTACAACAGTTTACTCATTCTCCATAAGAATAACATGGGAATTTTAAATTTACAATTTTTTGGAATTTTCTCCGTAACCATTAGGCGCATAATAACGCTTCAATATACTAAATTATTTGTTTTTTTAAGCTCTACAAAATGGTTTGAAAATAAATTGCTAAATTTTGTGTTTTTTGGGTCAAAAATGGGAAAAACCTATTTTTACCCCATAAAACCCCCCGTAAACACCCGTTCCCATGGTCCGATCATGCTGGATCGCGAACTCGTTCGAATAAACGTAGGTTTACACGTTTGTACCAAATTTCATCAAAATCGGATCATTTTTGCTCGAGTTATCGTGCTGACGGACATATATATATATATATATATATATGAATTTGAACGGATGGTGTTTTTGGCCTCTAGGGACCTCAAAACGAAAAAAAAATCGGTCCCGTGTCCAGGTCTTACCATGAGTACTACGGTAATAGCTTATTCCCTATATGGGAAATTCGCTAAAAGCAAAGATTTGAAAACCGAGAGAAAAATTGAATTTCTATAGTTAGCTCTGTGAGGTTTTTAACTGTGTTGTATCTGAAAAAACGGCTAGTGCTGGTTCAGTTAAATGGGATGAACTGACTATACTTCGTTCACAATATTTAGGCGGATCGAGGGGAAGTTCCCCCACCACTTGTATTGTATTTATTGTATGTTGCTCAATCAGCTGCTTAGCATAGAGTGAAGGGTGAAGTGGAGGGGATATATTTATTCCCCTAAAAAACCACCTAAATATTGTGAACGACCTATAGTATCATAGATAAAACCTTTGACTATTAATACAACAACTGTATCCAATAGTCAATGATAAAACGTACTCCCTTGTGTCCACAATTCAATGATAGTAGTTAAGAAGATTCGTTATAGTGAGATTGACATTTAGGTAACAGGTTGTGTATGTGTTTATTTTACTCAGGTGATTTTATTTGTTTGATAACTCTATTCGAGGAGGATGAATGAAAAAATACGTTTTACTCAACAGGCCAAGTGGTTTCTATTCCTTAAACTCTAAAAACCTAAAACCATTTAAAAAAATATAAAAATTAAAACGATTTTTCTGTTCACGTAAGCTTAAGCCATGTGCACGTACGAGCTTGTAAATAAATTAAAATAAATTGAAAAAAAAACAAATAGCTAATAGGCATTGGGATGGAGCATGGTCAAATCAAAATGTATTTAACTCCTCCCACATACTACGGTGCATAGATGCACAAACATTTTTAGAGCCCTTTCCAAATGAGTTTCAACCATGATTAACTTCTTGGGTGTGATTTGACGTGAAATTGGCAGTGATTTTATCAAATTAACTAGTGTTTTTCTGCCAATGCAATTAAACAACGGTGAACAGACTCAATGTTAAGAGTTCCCACGCCCCCGTCGATGACGAAGATTTGGAGCTCAATGAGTTGCAGCTGATAGATTGATAAACAGCTGTTGGTCTGGCGGAATATCAGTAGATCGTGCCAGGAGCCTTGGCCTTCTGACGTCCTCTCACTGCTGATGTCCCTTCTATGCAACCATAGATTCATCAATAGTAAAGTCATGCAATAGAGAAGAAATATTAACTTTCTCTTCTCCATAGCTGCATAAGTTACAAAAAGCTGGGTAGAAAAAGTGTTGAGGTTAAGAGGGTTCGATCCTAAAGTTCAGTTGCTTTTTGTTGGGATAAACCAAAAACTATACCCAGCTATTGGCCTTTTTGACCTTTAGGCCCTATTTGGCCTTTTTTATGTAGGCCTTTTAAGAAATGGTCCAGGCTAAAGAACAGCTGGTCTTTAGACAGTTAAATTAACCATATTTTACCCTCACTTTGCATTCATATTCAGCTTAAAATGCGCATCCAAGTGTAAGTTGAAATCTTCATTGATTTATCACCAGTAAATAAAACAAAAATAGGTGATTGTTTGTGGGATTAGTTTTACTTCCTTTTTGCCATAGCTACTTTAATACTTTAAGTAAGGTTGTTTATTTATAAGGATAGATTGACTCATTCTTTGTCATAGTTTGATCACTATACCCTGTTCTCAAAATTTGGATGGTTTTAAAGGAAGAAATCTATCCCCTCCAATGTATCCTACCCTTAAAAAAATAGCCGAGGTCTGTCAAAACGTAAATCAGCTGCAACATATACATTGAGCAAATAAAGAAGTGGAGAAACCTTCCTCAGACCGCCTAAATTATGTGAACGGGCTGGACTTTGGTGAATACTGTACAAAACAATGTTTTTATGGGAAAAGATTGACTCTCTTATTCCCCTTCAATTGATTTTAAGACAGTTTTGCACACTTGGTTGCATATTATCATAGATTAAACATACTCCCTTAGGGGATGATTAGGGGAATGTAGTTCATAGCTAAGCATGAATGTAGGTTGATCAACTTAGCTACTTCAAGTAAATAATCATGAAAGTAGTGTTTATCTTTGACCATCAGTTATCTTCCATTATTTGGCTTCTCTTAGGCCTAATCATTTCAGAATTCATAAGGTACCAGACATGGCCGAGGCGGTATTTGAACCCACAATCCACGGAGGTCTTCTGGCTGGGGAAATTATGCCTCAGATAAAATAGGTAAGGCAATAATAGAACAGACGATTTTTGTTCAGTTGCATTCTGATTTTCGGAAGGGTTATAGGTAATGTTACTATGTAAGGGTATAACTAACTACCTTTGGGGACCAATGGGTTAAACCACATTGTTATGCTCTAATAGGTGGATATGTAGTAAACATGACGATCATAAGAAGCATGCCGTTTTATTTTCCTAAATCAGCTTACTTCTTTGAAGTAAATTGTGTTGGTCATTGAGAATTATCTTTCTTTCTGCTTATTTTTGTAGCATCATAAATTACCTGGATGATTTTTTCCTCATTTGAAAACACATGGCCCTGTATCTTTTTATATGTAAGAAAGTGGTAAATTACTGCCAAACTGAACTAAATTGTAAGCAGATTCATCAGAACAAAATGTCCGCTACATTATTTCATAATATTCTAATCAATACAAGAACTTAAAGTCTATATAATTGCTTTTTGAAAATGACTCTACTTTGAAAATAAAATAATAAATATTTCTTAGAGTATGCTACATTGTGTTAAGTTTACCCAACATCTTTTACGTCATTTTTTATTCATTCAACGGGGTGGTTGCAACTTTTTCAAATGCAGCCATATGGAAGAGATTTGTTCATAATTTTATTATTTAACTATTTGTGGTTAACAGTATGCCCTATTTCATCAATTATGTCAGGCATACGTAATCTTTTGCCAATGTTTTAAACACTTTAACTAAACCAGCACTCTTTTATTGTAAACTATTTTCATTTAAACTACTGTTCCAATGTTTGTGCCAGGCTTTATTGGCATCACGAAGAAACAGAATGGACCTGGCTTTTGGCAGATACAGAATACAAAATGGAAAGGAAAAAAACTGTATAAGTATGAAAACGATATTTTATTGTTCTAGTGTAAAATATATCACAAACTTCCAGATTTCCCTGTTATTTACATGAGTGTAACAGCTAAAACCACAACTAACAATACAAGTTAGGAAAATGTAACATTATTAACATCAAACTTCGTACAAAAGTAGCAGCAGCGTAAGCCATTATACGATTTGATAACCTATCCTAAACATTTCAGAAATGTATGTGAAAATACAGACACGCAATAAGTTATTTGGAAAATAAAAGTTATGATGAAGATGTATTACATAGTATAAACATTAACAAAGCGAATCATACTACAAAACAGTACATCTTTGATGATCAGTGAGTATGGTAAATAAAATTTAAAAAATCTAAATTTGTTGGCCGATTAAATTCATTTCTGCTGATGTTTAGTAGCATTTAAAAAATCGTATTGAATTGAATTTCCCTGACAGATTGGTTTACTTAGTCAATTAAATGTAACTTGGTCATAAAGCAGTACAAAATCAACCCATAGTCTTCTCCCCTGTGTCATTGGAAGGTGGTGTTTGATCATTTTCCGTGGTTGGTACATTGTCGTCGTTCTTAACACTAGGAAGGCTGTTTTCGGATTCTATCGTATGGGCGGGGGGAAATGTGGTCTGCTGGTCATCAGTTTGATCGTTTTCGGTAGATGACGATTCTTCAATGGCTGTTGTAGCATCGGAAGAGGTCTGTGCAGTTTCATCAGAAGAGGCCACTGTGTCTGTTTGAAGAGCGGGTGAAGTTTGATCAGGCTCAACTTCAACTATTATTTTAAGAGTGAGTGATTCTTGGTCCTCTGAAACTTCTGAGATAATAGCAGTCTCTGTTGGATGGGCTCCTTCTGCGTCACCTGTTTCTGAAGGTTGCGCTGAGGGTTCTGATTCTACAACTGGGGAAGAAGAAGTAACGTTTTCTTCAGATGATGACGAGGTTTCTTCGGCAGACGCATTTTCTTTTGTTATTTCTGCAGAGTCTTCAACAGCCGCTGGCAAAGTGTGCTCGGTTTCTGTTTTTGCTTCGGAAGCCTCTTCGATTTCAGATTGGGGAACATCGGAATTGGCTACAGGACTAACTTCAGGGGTTGCTTCAGAACTCGCTTCTGATTTAGCTTCACATGTAGTTTCGCTGACGGTTCGCTCTTCCTTAGACTCTTCAGGTTGAATTTCGGAAGACGAAACTGGCTCCTCTTTGACGGGCATTAGTTGTACTTGAGGTTGGGAAGATTGAACTGTGTTAGCTACTGGAGAGGTTGAGGTTGTTTCTTTTAGAGCATCTTCCGTCGGGGTGGTGGGTTGACCTCCTTCTGTAGACGACTCTGGTGCAGGCTCAGGGGTTGCCTTCTCTGTCTCGGTGGTTGTTAAAGATGCCTCAGATGAAGTGCTCTCTTGCCGAGCGAGGGGTGAAGGAGTTTGAGCAGCCCCAGAAGACGTGCTTGCTGGAGGTGCAGGCGATGGAGAAGCTGAGATCTGTCTGCTGATGACGTTTCTGATCTCCTCAATAGGCTTCAACAAGGCAATGAGAACATCGTCGTCCCTTCTCTGGAACGACAAAAATATTTGGTTATATTTTATAATTCAATAGGACTAAGTATTTCCTAAAACCTATTCGCTATTCCTAACGTGTCACACATAGTTATGTGGATCGAAATATATTCGTTTGGGAGATGTGGACGTATTTTCAAAGGTTAACTTATTGTAAGTTTACTTTATTTCAAGATTGTTAGCAGCGCTTATAGTGAATGCAATTTTACACGTAATTAATTTTAATTTTGGTGGGGATGCATTGTCTTTATGACCATTAGTCTTCTCAAATAAACTTATATACTTTTGTAAAGTTTAATGAAAAGAACATCATTTGAACACATTCTAAATATTTGAAGCATTACTTAATAATCATCTAGAAGAAAGGCGGAATCTAGAAGAAGGAATTTGAAAACAACAAGAACAAATCGGACGTAATGAAATTAAAAATTAAGATAAATGTAATATACAATCCGGAATGTTTCTTTGTATCCACCAAACTGTTTAAAGTGTAAATGTTTTTATGGGCTTGAGTCATTTTTCGTAAAAAACATTTAACATTTTGTCAGTGTATTATTATTGCATGGAAGATGCTAAATCTGAAGTGATAAAATTTCAATCACAATACCTGAAAAAGAATTTCTGGCTCAAACCAGACAAAGCCTCTCTTCTTGGCTGCAATTAAAAGGCCGACCACTTTGTCTGAGATTTTTGTGTAGAACTGAAACAAACCAAATTTTATTTAGAAATATATTACATATTTGAAATAGGTATTTTACAATAAAATACCCTACCATTGACTTTTAAGAGGGCAAATAGCCTAATCACCCCATTACAGAATTTGAGGCTGGTGTAACGGGGTTTTTATGTTGGTACAGTTTGAATGCTCAATTTTTCCTGTATTTTAGGAAATAGTGTAGGCCTACGTCTGTTTAAGTAAATGGTTACAACACCTTGTTAACATTAACATCAAACTGAAAATCAACAGTTCACGACTAGATTTTTATAGTTAAGAGTTCTAAATTTAACTAAATGTCTTCTACTAAAAACTGGAAGAAACATAACCTAAAATTGTCGTCTGTTTATTTATAAGTGTATGTTTAACTTGTAATTTTATTCAGATTGTACGGACGATGCTCCGAAAATGAGTTTGAGGAACCAACGATATTGATACTAAAATGAAAAAAATATGTCTCCATGTTGCTTAAATTTGTTAGTAGATAATTATTAATCACGTGTCAAGTCAGTCTTTTAACCTTGCAAGGTTAGAAGCCTGAATGCACTCAGACTTCGACTGTGAGATAGACTTGTTTGACAGTTCTGGCAGCGTATCTAAACTGTCGCGCTGAAAGATGAAATAACTTTGTTGCTCGTTTTACATAACAGGAGTTTAGAAATACTTATCTGTTTTCGTACCTATCTGCTGTCGTGTATTGTAACCGTCTTGAACAAGTTGGCAGTTAGGAGATTTGAAAATCAAGCAGTGAATTATAAAAGCTTTCAGTTTAACAACTTGACGCTTTGGTTCAAAGTGTAATTTATTAAATAGTTATATGGGGTTTATTAAGGAAAATATCATGTTATTTATTACGAATGGCTCTTCTAAAATTTCAAAACTTACACAGTTTCGTTCATACCATAGGAACTATTTTACTTTACCATGGTAAACACTAATTAACACAGCACAAATTTGAATAAGCTATACAGTAAAAGGTCCATTCAACATTTAGAATATAGTACTGTATTCACAAAACTAAATAAGTATGCTTAAAAGTGTATCCTTGATTGCAGGATATCATTCACTTCCCTGTCAAATATAAAAAGTTTATACAAAAACATCTTCCGAAGTTCGAGCATGTCACAAATCTTTTCAAAAGCTAGAGTAGAATTTTCGGAATTTTGGAACGTTGACGGTATCACGTTACAGGGAAGATTTAAAATTGCAGAAATCGCGCTCAATGGTATGGACGGAAACCTGAGTTATTTTTAAATTGGCAACTTGACGTACAAAACGCAAGGTAGAAAGGTGGGGAGTCTAAATTTGGGCTGAGACAAAAACACTGCGTGACTAGGTGGCCGTTCTAAAGAGAGTAGTTTGATGTGACAAATATTACGTGACCAAATAACCATTTTTAGGACAAATTGGACAACGGATTAGTGACCGAATAAGTGTTGTTATGCATTTTGTTTTGGCAATTATTACCAGCGTACTGGGTGACCATTCTTTGATGTGATGTTTGGTGTCACAAACTTGACGTGACTGTGTGGCTGTTCTATAATGTGATGTTTGGTGTAACAAACTTGACGTGACTGTGTGACTGTTCGATAATGTGATGTTTGGTGTGACAAACCTGACGTGACTGTTTGAGCGTTCTATAATGTGATGTTTGGTGTAACAAACTTGACGTGACTGTGTGGCTGTTCTATAATGTGATGTTTGGTGTGTCAAATTTGACGTGACTGGGTTACCGTTCTATAATAAGATGTTGGGCGTGTCAAACTTGACGTGACTGTGTGACTGTTCTATAATGTGATGTTTGGTGTGACAAACTTGACGTGACTGTGTGGCTGTTCTATAATGTGATGTTTGGTGTGACAAACTTGACGTGACTGTGTGACTGTTCTATAATGTGATGTTTTTGTACAACAAACTTAACGTGACTGTTCTGTAATATTTTGTGTGACAATGGTAATGGTATATGACTAACATTTAAGTGTTCGACTGATTTGATTTTGAATGAAAATAATCCACTACAAACTTTAAACATGTTAAATATTATGGGTTCCCTTTGTCTGCAGTGCAATGCAATTGAATGAAGTATTGATCGTTTCACGGAGGGCGGCTATGTATGGTTAATTATCATATATTTAAAATGCAAAACGTGTGTACAATAGAAGTGTTTGTACGAATACAACAAGCTGTGATGATAGGAGGTGGAAATTTTCTTTTGGAATTGAAAACAGACGTCCCCGAAGGGAGTTGTAGGCATAGAAAGATAGCTATAAAAATACACACATAAACTGTGTGTATTTGATTGCGTTCACTGTGTTCACTGTTCACTGTTCCAATAAGCGTCGAGTTTTATGAAACTTATGGGTTTACTGTATAATTTGGAATGTTTGTTTTGTTTCACGATCTTAATTAGTTCAAGACATTTTTATCACATTTATAATATAAACATCATCAAAGGGAAAAGGAGAAAGATCTAAAAAATAATTTTCGGATCTTAGAAGATATGTAAGAAGAAACAATAATGTTAAATGGCTTGTCTAGTCAATATATAGAAACTGTTTATTTGTTGTCTCACTAAACGCACAGTAAAAATCAAAATTGAAGAGACACTTTGCATACACTTTGTAACTTTTGAATAACAATTTGGCGGGACGTCTTCAAACTAGTGACAGCAAAATAAAAATCCTATGACCAACAAATTTCAAGCTATGTAATGCAATTACTAAGCATTAAATCAAAATTGAACCTAACGGTAAACCCAAAAAGCAGCATGTATCATTGAGAATCCAAGTTTTACTTGTATCATGCTTAAAACAAAACGTCTTGGCGCAAATACGAAAATAGGCGAGTTTGAAATATTGCGTTCCCATGATAGTTCTAAATTTGTAAAGCCATTGGTACCGCAATGTCAAAACTATCAGTTGTTTACACATTCCAGTATCTCTGCGAATAACCCGAGTTTGGCGCGTGTCCAGCGCATCTCCCCCGCCAGCCCTTATATAGACAACTTTGAAATCTTCATCTTTCCGTTTGATGGCGTAAGATAGCGTAACCGATGATATGTAGCGAATGGAGAATAGTTTATTACTTAGCTTTTTCTGAAGAAAGAAAACCTATAGAACAAAAGATAGTATACACCCAATTTGAATAAAAACAACCTATATGAACCTGAAGTAAGTTTGTCTTCTTATTTCTTTCTTTCATCACAATACTAGCCTACTTTCATCATGGTACTTTCACATCATGTAAATTTGTAGTACCATGAATTATATTTATGATACAGTAGTTAAAATTTCTATTAAAGAAGGGCAAAGATTCTGCTGAAACTTGTTTTATTGATTGTTAAATGTATTATGCATGTGTACGTGATAATGTTTTAGTGACGTCCACTAGATTTAAACTTCTTATTTTTTTTTAATAAAACAGTGTATGCTCGTGTGAGTGTTTAATTTTTCTGGTATGAGACTCAGCACCATCTGAATTATTGAAAAGTTTATTGAAGCAGTAGGTAGTTCATAAATAGATTATGAACATAGAATGTATTTGGTCGCAAAAATTATAAAGGGGAGAAATTTAATCTGAGGACATAAAAGAAACTAAAACATTCAGGAATTAAATGGCCATAAAATGCATTACCGGCCTTAAAATTACCTTCAATGATCCGTTAGGATGAGAAATGTACGAAAAGTATGTTTGATCCACTAGACAACTTTTCCCTACTTTTTACAAGACTGATCAAGATACTTAGTAAGACAACGTATTAGTCAAGGTATTATTCAAAGTCAATACAGTATTCAGGTGGTCAGGTGTTGGCAACAGAAACTATTGGCTGTGAAACATACTTTTGCTCGGGTCAGTTCCGAAACATTTGGAGCACATCTTATTCCAGCTCAAATGAAATTCGCGGAACAACCAAGAACTAACAATAGAGACTTGAGGGAGCGATAAAATTTAGTACGGTTCTAGCACGGCCCGACGGGATGGATTGAAGATACTCATTTTAGCGAATTTCCCATATAGGGAATAAGCTATTACCGTAGTACTCATGGTAAGACCTGGACGCGGGACCGATTTTTTTTTTCGTTTTGAGGTCCCTAGAGGCCAAAAACACCATCCGTTCAAATTCATATATATATATATATATATATATATTTATATATATATATATATGTCCGTCAGCACGATAACTCAAGCAAAAATGATCCGATTTTGATGAAATTTGGTACAAACGTGTAAACCTACGTTTATTCGAACGAGTTCGCGATCCAGCATGATCGGACCATGTGAACGGGTGTTTACGGGGGGTTTTATGGGGTAAAAATAGGGTTTTCCCATTTTTGACCCAAAAAACTTAAAATTTTGCAATTTCTTTCCAAACCATTTTGTAGAGCTTAAAAAACAAATAATTTAGTATATTGAAGCGTTATTATGCGCCTAACGGTTACGGAGAAAATTCAAAAAAATTTTAAATTTAAAATTCCCATGTTATTCTTATGGAGAATAAGTAAACTATTGTAGTTTGCTTGTTTATGAACATATTTTGATCAAATTTGGAAAATGTTTTTATTTCTTACTAACTATTAACATTTTACAAAAAAAAACAATTTTACCCTCCCTGATGCAGCAAACCTAAGTACTTGTTAAACTAATTCTATTTAAATCGGGAATAAATGTTATATTTTTAAGTAGACATTTCAGTGTAAATCCAATCAGTCAAATGGAAATTCGCTTAGTCTGCAGGTTTGCTGCGGCGGGGGTATTATAGATTTATCATCCGTGTGGATCAGCTGTGGAAAGTATTAAGACACTGTTTTTAATTTCGGGTATAGGTAGTGTTTGTTTTTTCATGACTTGGACCAGCTTTAACACCATTCCTTTGTATTAAAGCCAAGTAATAATACTCCCTCAGTCAAGTTTGCCATAAAATTCAACTAAAAAAGTTAACTTCAACCACCTTTAGCACACTTAAAAGTAACCAGACATGAACCACGTGTCAAATAAAGTTCAAATTTTAACTTGTTGTAAACAAATAATAGTGATGATAGAAGTAAACAATGTAAGATTCTTACTTAACTAGTTTGTGGCTATCAATATGAATGTTATTTTATAATCACTTAACAGAAAATATATATCCTATCCCCAGAGGATCAAACCCAAACGATCAAATAAAGCTATCGTTTTACCTTTGATTTACTTTCATAGCTAAAACTAATCCAGAAGATATTTCCTCTTTTATCCTTTTATGGAAATTGATGACGACATAGAATGTGCAATAGTTTACGAAAATGTGCTTCCAGTTTGGAATGATTGAGAAGTTCGTGTATAAGATGTATTTTATCTAAGAACTCTATCGATGGCTTGATTCCAAAAGTTACCTGTTACTCTAGGGCTGGCCATCACTTGAACATCAGAATTAAATCTCGACTTATGTTGTCATTAGCTATAGGCTTTGTTCATAGTAAAGTTTAACACTCACAGCGAACAGTTCGCCGAACGGTATGATGATGCATTCATCACCGTCGGCGTCCTTCCGTCGGGCGCCCATGTCATGGATCACCTCGCACAGCTCCAGGATTTCTCTGCTGATCTGTGTGAACGCTCTCTGACCTCGCAGCTCTGTCTTAGAGCCAGCAGCAGGCCTGGAACAAGACCAAGTTGAAGTGTATGATGATACATTCATCACCATTGGAGTCCTTCCGTCGGGCGCCCATATCATGGATCACCTCGCACAGCTCTAGGATCTCTCTGCTGATCTGTGTGAAGGCTCTCTGACCTCGTAGCTCTGTCTTGGAGCCAGCAGCTGGCCTGGAACAAGAACAAGTTGAAGTGTATGATGATACATCCATCACTATTGGAGTCCCTACGTTGGGCGCCCATATCATGGATCACCTCGTACAGCTCCAGGATTTCTCTGCTGATCTGTGTGAAAGCTCTCTGACCTCGCAGCTCTGTCTTGGAGCCAGCAGCTGGCCTGGAACAAGAACAAGTTGAAGTGTATGATGATACATCCATCACCATTGGAGTCCCTACGTTGGGCGCCCATATAATGGATCACCTCACAAAGCTCCATACCAGGATCTCTCGGCTGATAATACACTCGTCACCATAAGTGTACCGGTGTTTGTCGCCGGCGAGGTTGTTGAGTAAAAACGAGATCAATTTTTCTTAATCGTGATTAAATTTCAACAGGGTGTCACCAGCGTGAAGAGATGCTGATTGGTATTTTTAAGACATCCGACAAGTCCCCAAATACTTGTGACCTCTTAGAAGACCAATTGATTGGCGTGTGCAAAACCCAACCTTGATTGAATACTTTAAGACCTCGATTTAACCCTTCTCTATTCGATAAGTTAACAATTGTCATTGTCTGTAGTCAAATGTAAATCCAAAAATGATCGGAATTAGATTGCGAATGCGTCAAAATCATGTTTTGACTAATAAGGGTTGAGGTGTTGTTAATGAAAGGTGTTTCGGTGTTTGCCATACATAGGAAGTTATCCTCGCTTTGATCACGTATTGTATTATTTTTGGTAATATCACAGACTGGTGGACTAGCTAAATGGAGCTCACTTAGTATATGATAAGATGTAACGTACTTTGACCACATGATACCAGCCGCGCTCTTCCGTAAATGCATATTTAAATAATTTATTTTTGTAAAAAAATACAACCGACTTAAAACGCTCTAAAAAGAATGAAATAATTTCAATAAAGTAAACTTTTGTATTAGGCAAGCTCACGTATTTTAAGTCGGCGCGGCTCTATGATGATTTTTGATACAAAATTGAAAGAGGGTGTCCATATTGCAGGTGACTATCTATAACTAAAGTTGTTAATCTGCATGTATTTTTCATAGTTATGCGTTAAGTGTCATTTTATTACCGTAATCAGAGATCGGCATTATAGTGGTATTAACGAGCATCTTTAAAAAGATTATAACGCATTTAAATGTTTCTAACATGGAAAAGTAACGTTTTAATACCAAACTAGCTTCTTTTCCCTATTATAATATCAAACTAAATTATTTTCCTATTCAAATAGAACATTCGTGTGTGTTATTTTCATAATGCATTTATTCTGAAGTAAACATAATAAAATACAAGAAAATATTTCCTTTAATATATAAACAAAACAGTTCAGTATGTTTTTTATATATTTATGTTATCCAGCTACAATTTATTGATTTTCAAAATACACACACAATATTTAATTTCAATCATATTTGCTGTTTGAGCCGCGCCGACTTGAAATACGTGAGCTTGCCTAATACAAAAGTTTACTTTATTGAAATTATTTCATTCTTTTTAGAGCGTTTTAAGTCGGTTGTATTTTTTTACAAAAATAAATTATTTCATGATTTTTAGTGACTGTATAATTTTTTATATATTAATTACTTGAGGTTTTTTGATAGGCAAAACTGTTTGGAACAATCAAAAGTTCCACAGAACAATCATTATTTTAAAACTGCTTGAGTCACCTGTTCAGGTTACATAATCAATCGGTATGAAAATAAACATTTTTAGATAATCCTTAAGAAAGAAAGAGTTGTCCATTAAATTAGACCTAATGAAAAACTAATTGTATTTTCTTGATACATTGAAATGTCAGACATCATCGTTTCCTGCAATCGGTGTACTTCTACATTACTACATTATAAAAAGAAATACAGTAACGTCTCAAGCCTTTTGGAACAATATAAAAGTTATTCCTCATTTACCAGCACTAAAAAATCTCTCAAAAGTGGAAAATTGGTCGATAACACGTATAGTACCTTTGGAAAATATTATATGAAAGATTGGTTCAGCTAAAAGTGGTGTAAGTCATGTAGGGGGTTTTGTTTGCTCAAGATATAGCCTAGTCGAAATTGCAAATCATCTTCCTCTAGGACTTTCCGAAGCAGGCATAATAGTATTGATATTTTATAGTAACTGGGTAGAGAATATTAATAAGCATTCCACATCTGCAAATGAAATATGTATATGAAAGATTGGTTCAGCTAAAAGTGATGCAAGCCATGTAGGTGGTTTTGTTTTCAAACAAAATCTTGATCAAGATCAAGATATAGCCTAGTCGAAATTGCAAATCATCTTCCTCTAGGACTTTCCGAAGCAGGCATAATAGTATTGATATGATATAGTAACTGGGTAGAGAATATCAATAAACATTCCACATCTGCAAATGCATGTTTAGTAATTAAAATATTTAACACTTTTAAGACAATTGACGATTATGCACTGTCACACTTCTTAGGTCGTGTAAGGAATAATTGCATTTAATTTATATTTAGACCTGTTTTACGAATGCTTTGGTTTTCACAATACACCTTTATTTGTCAATATCATACAGCTATTCACTGAAACATATATGTTTTTTAAGTCAGAATATTCAATACTAAAAACAGAATTACTGTATACACAAATCAGATCAAACTTTAAAATAAATTTTTTATAGTAACCAAAACAAAATGCATGGCAAGAAATAGTTTATTGATCAATATGAAGCAACTGTTTCATGAAGAATTGTCTCTAGCTTCATTTAAATGGTTTCAACTAACAGCTGTAGGAATGTTATCATTATTTATTGCCTTCTCTGCACAAATGTAAACAATCTGCACAAATGTAAACAAAATAAATGTTGAATATTTAAGGTTTTCAGAATTTTTCACCGAAACAAATATTATACTTAAACATAATATATAAGGTACCTAATAGAAACTCTCCTGGTTATTTTGGTGGTGGAACCATACTGATCGGTAAAAGAATCACAGAGAAATTGGTGAACATACATAGAAATAAAAAACATCGCCACAAACAAATTGAGAACCTCCTCCTTTTGTTGGTAGTGGGGAAGTCGGTTAAAAACTGAAACAATCACTCTATTCCTAACATTTTAAAAATATTTTGAAATTATTACTTTTCACCGAGACTCCAAAAGATTTCTGCAGTTCATTGAATTGAAATGTTGAGGGGGAAATGTAATTAGTTCAATGTGACAATTTCTGTGAGGTTAATAGAAAAGCAAATTGGAACACATCACAAATAAAAACATAACTCTTAAGAAACTTGTTTTACACAACTACAAACTCTTAAATCTCTCGTTTGGACATCAAAATTCACTTATCCCAGTTTACAATTGCAAACACTTAACCTCATTGGCTTCCTTCCATGTTTACATTTACAAGTAAACGCCTTTGATGGTCTGCTGCCTAATGATAACATCACTGGCATTGTTGGATATAGCTCTTAACAAACTAGAAACATTCCGTGCATTTGAGTCCTACTTTTCTGTTTAAGTAAAAAGTATATTTTGCTAAACCAATTATGAAGATATGGTAAGACCCATTAAACTTACCATATCTAACATTTACATAAGTTACTTAACATTTGATTGAAAATGTTAAAGGTAGAATTCTCATCCTACTGCAACTCCTAAAACTTTTTTCTACTTCACGTTTCATATTCAGTAACGTGTGTGCAATGTCTAAAAACGTTTCTCTTTTATTTTAGGTTACAACTTACAGTGAGCTTATTTTTCTTCACTAATAATATCAGAGGAGATGTTAAATGCTACAAATACTTCATTATACTGACGATTGAGTTAAAACTATTTAAATAATAGAACTAACAAGCAAATGATACTGTAATAAATCAAAACAGGATGTCAGTTGGAATAATATGAAATAAAGAAGACAAAAATAGATGTTAGCGTCCCCAAGCGTTATCAAAAATGAAAATATCTTAATGTTATCCCCAATCTATCGTTAATTTACCATGATGCCAAAAGATGTAGTACATTAAAAAGTTGAGCAAGAAAAATTAAATTAATTCATGTAGTTTGATCCATGCTGATAGTTTTTTAGTAGTCACTCAATTCATGTTTGTTGCCCATTTTTGCAATAAAACTCTAATATTCAAAATGTGTTATGTCAGTAAGGGATGATTTTTACCATTCGTTCATTGAGTGAACACATCACAGAAACATTTCAGAAACATATTTTTCACCACACAATGATGTTTTTAGCTGTTTTACATTTGGTAATTGGTGGCTGAATGTTACGTTTTGCTGGCCATACCATCTCTCATCGTTGTTTGGGGACGAGCGGGTTTTTACATCCCTAGGGCCGCAAAATCAGCTGTTCGCTTACTTAATTAAAACATTAAACTATTGCAATAGACTTGTTATATTGTCACCGCTGCCTATCCACTATTTATTATTGTTTCAGCTGATTTCTCAAGTTGTTTTTTCACATAACCTTAAATTGTTGACTGTTAGTGTGCATTATTTTTGTGGTAAATAGTGGTAATAGGTTATAGTGTGGTGAAAAATAGCGTTCGTACCAAAAACCAAAATGGTTTTGCAGCTCTCGAACGTTTAAGTTCTCGACTTCGTCTCGAACTTAAAAACTATCTCTAAGTGGTAATACAGCTTAAAAGAAACAACTGATCTTAATATAAAACAAAGCCACGCAGATCATAATATTTAACTGCATCTATTTTTCAGCTTTAAATATATACCCAAGTGTTGTGTTGTATTGATTAAACAAGAGGTTCTATCCGACGATAAACAATACAATTTTCCCTCCTAATTACGAATAATATTTCTACACTGACTGGTTTTGTTGACGCTGATGGTACGTCCC